CTAGGCGATATGTAGTTTGCAAGCTATGTGTAGGCCCGAAGGCTGTGTGTGCTCTGTGAATCTATGTATCGAGATGTACAGACAGCATCATGTGTCTTTATCGAGGAGAGAACGGGGCAAGCTGGACAAGGACCCCCCCCAAGGTCCAAACCAAGCTCGAACCCGTGACCTTGTAACATGTAATCAGAGACTCTACCGGCACGAACGTGTGATATGCCAGGCTGGGGAGATCAACAGAACACCCATTGGCAAGACCAACACCCCCAAGCAACCCCTGCGGCACCCAGAACCAACATACAACACCATGGACTACCCTTGGGTGGTGCGCAGGCAGTGTCTTTCATAGTACCATGCGTAAGGGGATGCGTGTCCAGCTGTGCATCAATCTAAGCCCCTGCCGGTGTCCATGCGCAAGGCTGCGGGGTTTTGTACCCGCAACCTTATACCACGATGCGCATTTCCAACCGGTGCTCTAACCACTGAGCTACAACCCCTCTCGTAGAAGATCAAGCTCCTCCTGTTTGGACACCCACGGGATTACCCGAGGGACTGGAGCCCATATCAGAGCTAATCTGTTCTGATAGACAAGATTGGCCATGCGGCTGACAAACCACGCAAACAGTGGAAGAGACAACCAGGACGACTCACAAGGGATGGGTTGACCTCTTTTTTTTTTTTTTTTTTTTTTTTTTTTTTAAAGGCTTGTGCAGGTCTGCTAGGGAAGGTGATAAGAGCAGCCGTCCCTAGCAGCCTGCTAGTAGCCACTCCATCTATTGGTGGGGAGCATCACCTGCTGGAAACCGGGTCCAGCGTCCCATGAATACATCTTGACAAATCGTAAATTTGAACATGGGTTGACCTCAAGCGCTCCCTGCACACCTAAAGAAACCCTTCAGAAAGAAAACGAGCCATTAAATCTCAGGGAAATCCTGGTAGGTCCATGGACTCGGAAGGCATTCTGTGGTGTACACGATGATGCTTCTTTTTTTTTTTTTTTTTTTTTTTTTTGAGTAAATTAAAAAAACTTCGTATACGGCAAACCTACTTAACGAGGTGATAAGAGCATAGGTTCCGGCGTCGAAGGCTCCATC